CTGTGGAGTTCGGAAATTGATTCTAGGAAAAGCGCAGTAATGCACGTAGGTCAGAAGTATTATAAGTTGTATTCCCTAGGGGACAGAGAATTACCTGATTTTAACGAACAGAAGGACCTAGGAATCATTGTCAGCAATGATTTGAAAACAACTGCAAATTCCAATGCAGCCGCAGCTAAGGCTTTTCGAATGTTATGGGCACTCCGAAGAGCTTTCAAACGATCAGATGAGTCTATGTTTAAAGTACTCTTTGCAACATATGTCAAGCCTCATCTAGAAGACTGCATGCAAGCGGCTAGTCCATGCTTCAATAAGGAGGGACATATCTCACAAAGAGTACAAAGGGTAAGAACCAAATTAGTTAGTGGTATCTCACGCCTTCCTGATGATAAGAGGATGAAGCATTTAAATCTCTTTCCATTATAACGCTGAAGGAAGAGAAGCGATTTTATTTTAGCATACCGTATACTTAAGGTTGATTTAGGAACTAACCTTTCTAACCTTTTCTCCCCTTCTAGGATACATTTATGGGGTCACCGCAAAAAGGTGTTGAAACCGATGGCGATTAAAATACGTGAGGAATTTAGATTTTCTCGCAGAGTGATCAATGACTGGAGCTCATTACCTGATTCACTAGTATCAGCTCCAACGATGAACGCTTCCAAAGAGAAGGTAGATCTACACGGAGATATATTTTACAAGAATTAACAGAGGCCACAAGAGCCTTCTATCCTTATCATCTAAATCTGAATATATGTGTCTAATATGCTGCTAGAGCAGGTCCCATTTTTTAACAGGAGTAGTTACGTGCATATATCATTCTTATCAGGTTTTCGATATACCCAAAATCTCTCAGTAGAATCTGTATCAGTAACATTTTTGGGATCCACTAATCCTGACAAATTAGTGACTTTATGATGAATGTAGCCTGATGATGACAGCCACAGCGTTCAACATTTCAAATGGATGCAGCCCATAATCTTTGTTGTAAGTTTCATACTAACCTTGCTACAATCCTAACCTAACGATACCCTGCTCTGACCCTAGCCCTACTCTAGGCATAATCATAACCTTGTCCTTAATCTAACTTTATTCTCATCTTAACCACAATCTTACTCCAACCCTAGTCCAGACGTAAAGTCAAAAACTTTCGAAGCACGAATTGGGAATATTGAATATAATAATAATAACAGTGAGTTTGTTTCAAATAGCACTGTCGATTCAGTTTGGAAATTTTAGCATGTTATGGATTATTGAATCTAATGGTCTGCTGATATAGCATGGTGAAGGGGAATACAAAATTAACAGTTATAACACAGCTTAAATGATGTTCACACTTATGAAAAAATAAATGAAAACAAAAAACTGAGAGGATTATGAATATAATACGTACAACAACAATAAAGGTTGATGTTGTAGGGGTGGAGGAAATGGTTTATATATATTATGTCAATAATTTAATAATTGTTATAAGTACAAGTGTAGTAGTTGAAGTAGTCTGGAGGGTAGGACGGGAGCGAATGTAAGGAGGTGAAACGAAGAATTTGTATATCTCCCCACGATTGGTGTATGGGATTTTAAGGGGATAGGCAATTTGGACGCAGTTCTTGTGTCGCTGCGTAATTGTCCAACCTTCACTTAGAAGTATCCACCGACGATGCCGTAGCTACTTCCACTGGTAATGAGTTCCAGGGACGACAAACCTGCAGTGAAAAGAAGTGGGGGCGAACCTGAGTCTTTGCCCTCTGGTGGACTATCTTTCTGGGATTTCCACGAGGAATCCCATACCTACCCAATGGCAGAACAACTTTATTTGGATGGCTGTGGTCATTTGTTATCTTATTGCCAGTAACCAAGTTCCTCCAAAGTCAACAATAGCTAGGTGTCAATAGGCCTAATTTCTTGAGCCTTTCATCCTATGGTATATTTCGAAGAACCACCATTACTTTTGTCATCCGTCTTTGGACTCTTTCTAAGGGGTTTGCGTCTCTTCTAAGCAATGGGGGTGCAATAATATTATGCACTTCAGGGTGTGGTCTGACCTATGTTTTGTACAAACTAAGAAAGAGCTCAAGAGTGAGTGCACTCAACTGTCTATGTACAAAGTTTATGACCGCATATTCCCGTCGCTACATCCTTTGTGTAGTTTACACTTGTGTCCATTTTTTCCGTTAGAACTAGACCTAAGTCACGCTCCAACGTTTTGCAGGACAAGCGTTTGTTGCACAGGGTGTAACTTGCATTCTGCATCCTAAACAGTTAGAACAGAAGGTCCCTTAAATTTCTACTATATTTGAAACGAACTCCCAGTTTGAATGAATTTGTCTAAATTATATTGTACTGAATACTAACTTCCTCGATTTCTCTTTCTTCTCTTAGCATCTCTCTTTACACTAAGTGTTCGACGTACCTGAGGGGTTACATAAGGATGCAACGGCTGCAAATTCAGCAGTAAGAATGTCCCAAACGAACCATACATCCTACTCAAAATAGATACATACACAACTACTACAGTCGATGTAATGTCCTCCAAAGATCTAGTACTGCTTCTTAACATCGAGAAAGAGTTCCTAACATAGAAAAGGAAGTTCAAAAAGTCATTATATCCATTTGAGGTCGTTAACATATGGTCAGATAATGGAGATTTAGCTGCTGAATCTACGTCCACCAGCGGAGTTCGCTAGTTCGCAATTTAATATGATAAAATGACCGTTGTGAACAGACAATTCCTTCCTGGCATTTACCCACTGGCGCAGTGTAATAATAATATATAATAATATATATTTTCCTATCAAACATGAGGTCATCTCAGGATAGCAGACATTAATAATAATCATCAGCATCTTAACGCCAAAATAAAATACTGTCATTTCCCTCCTTGGTCACAAACGTGACTGTGAAAATTAATAGGGTTGTTCAAAATGTACAAAATGTACAAAAATGAGAATATATTATTATTAATAGAAAAACTACATGTCATATGAAAGTATTGCAGAATAGTTTGTCATTTTAGTTCATAAATATTTACTTTGTCTGTTTAACATTTGAAACATGATCATGTAGTCTGGACCCAGTATCGGACATTTGGCAGATTTTAGAAACATGTTTACACAGGAGTTAACGGATTATTGTAATGGTAGAACCGTGCTCCAAAAACCACTGCATTGTATTTTCCTTTACTCCAGAGGTCATGGTATTTGCTGACTATTGATTTCTTCTGCAAACTTACCTTTTGTGAAACTAACAATCCGGAAAACAGTTAGATCCTAATCGGCAGTAAGTATGAACTTTTCAGTGACCATTTTCTGGACAAATTTTACTGACTTGGTTACATTTCCAACAATCAAATGATTACACAACTATATCATAAGGGATCTACCACTTGCCTATTTTCCAAACTAGTGTTTTTTCGCAGCAGTTTCATTGAACCTTTAAAGGTAAGGACGAGAAAATTAGCCAAGGAAAATCGATGATGTGGAGTTCGCACGCTTCAGAGAATTCCTCTTATCCAAAAACTTTCTTTTTGATAGGTATTGTATGGAGAGTTTATAAGTATCCATGTAGCGATTACTGTAATAGAGACGTATGTTTACCTAATAAGATCTAAAAGGGCTCATTAGTATGCTTTCTGTTGACGTTATCCAGTGCTTCATGGTGTTTCATATAAGCATTTCAAACCCATAATTTCGTTTACTTGCACTACAGTTTTTCAAAAAATCTCAGAGAATAAAACTATCCGAACATTAATCTATTTCTATTGTTTCAGATTGTTAAGAGAATGTTGGTTCTAGACAGAAGCGGATACTTACTTAGTTCTTAGTGGTCTATTTTATGTTACTCGAATTGCCCGTCATTGCCCCGAGAAATACCACCAAAGCTACTCCACTGGTTGCCAGTGGATAATAATCCTCCAACGAAAGCAGGAATCCTGGATGCGAATAAGATATTGAATTCCGGCGGGGAAGGCAGCTGGCTAGACGGAATTACACCCTGAGCACTGAAATTTGACTTAGAGAATGTGGCAGATGTGCTAACGCCATTATTGCGAAAGGTTTGGAAGGAAGGAAAGGCACTTTCCGACTGGAACATAGGCTGGCCATCTTGTCAAGCTGCCAAAGAAGAGCAACTTAAATCTTGGCAATAACTGGAGAGGGATCATGCTCTCGTCCACTTCAGGTAAAATGCTAAGTCGCATCATCTTATAGAAATCCTTCAGCCCAGAACGGGTTGTATTCAGGAAACAAATCAAATTGCAAATCTACTCATCGTCATATATGAAGAGGACAGCAGATAATAGAACCAAGTGGAGATGAAGCCCTATGTTTTCCTTGAAAGCCTGGTAAATAATAACAATAAAAGCTGGAATGATTAAGTTAGAAAAGAGTAGCAATGAAGCTGACGTGTGAAACAGCTAGGATTTTGTGAGATCTTTGTACTATTTCACCCTTTGCAACTGCTGATCGACCTTTAGGTATTAAGCGCGTATATACTATTTATATGAAATAAACACTATTGTTATTGAAAGAAACCCCAATTCAGACATTTAGAAGACAAGAAAATTGACCGAAGAAATGTTTGATTTCTAAAAAGGGCCTTCTTTATGGCCTTAATCAAGTATTTATTGCCATTATTATTATTGTTATAATTAGGACTATTATTTTTATATTTACAAAATAGGGTTCACAGAACTTTCTACTTTCTTGTGGAAATTTATTCTTCGTTCTGAGGTGTATAACCTGAGAAAAGAATCATTGCAATAGTGAAGTCTAACTGTAAGCCACAAACTACGCGAGCACACCATGGCCATGGACTGATGAATTTATGTGAACTCGCGAAAGCAGTTAAATGACAGAAAATTCATTAAAAACCTTTAACATCTAAATGTGACCTGTCTTCGGAAGTTTAGGTGCCAATATACTCCTTTATAAACTGTTCAAATAAAGATAGTTTAAACTGAGCACTATATGTGTAACACTTCCCGCGTTTATTTAATTTTCAAGGTTGTGCTGACAAACGGCTGATACGTAAGTCGTTTGTGTTTCACTACTTACTGGGAATACAGTGTGACTTGCTGATACTATGTACTATATTTCATCTGCAAAAAATGTGTTTTTCGTCCAAGTAATATGCTTTTATGGGAAGGTAGTAATAATTTGCTACTTAACTTCCAATTATATTTTCACTTGGTTGAATGATTTTTTGGAGAGGTTGGACCCATATCTGATGCTTCAAAAAAGCCTGTGGTGTATCGGTCTTTTAAGTGGGTAATTGTTTTATAACTTTTGGCAAAAGACAACTGCGTAGAGTGAAGTTCCTCGTGTTCATTAAAACGAGTATCCGAGTTTTTGTAGTTTAATTTAATTGTCAAGTTCCCAGTCCTTCCACAGGATTTCGCTCTTACTCCGTCACTTTTCAATTTTCTCAATGAATTACTTTTTTAAATAGTATGGTAGTCTTATTTTAGACAAATGGAATCCATTGTGGTTGATCAGAATTCACACTTCTGTGATATATATTTCTTTGATATCATTGTGTTGTGTTGAATAATGACTGATACTTCATGATATCAAATAAATATGCTCCCATGTTTGTGAAGCCTTAGACTGGGAAAGGCTTTTGGTCCTCCAATCATATATTGGTTTTTTAAAAACCACAAGTTTTTACTATATACTGTAAGGCAAATCAAATCTTTAGGGGTTTTCCTATTTCAACAAGTCATAATGCCAATTCATTTCACTTCAGTTGGAATTCTGCTTAGTACTTTAATTTGAACTTTCCGGCAACTTTTAATATGATATGGTCGTGAGGAGTAATGTTTCTGGTTTGAGACAAACTGAATTTTTCTGATGGTATTACCATCCAATCTACTCACATCTCAAATGTAAATTTGGAACTGCTATTAGATTTATCTGGCTGTAAACCCATTCAATCGGTCAGTCTGTAATTCATGATTAACTTACTTCTCGGTATGGTATTTAGTCTTATTCCACTTGGTATAATATTAATGATTATTTGGTAGCAAAAATGAAATAGCTGCTTAAATGCACGTCCAGTCGACTTACATTAAATTTCTGTGAGGTTCTTGTAACTTCTTTGTGCTTATTAGTTAGTCGTGAAGGTAGTAAGTACAGTAGTTTACGTAGTGATTCTGTGCATAAAATTGTAAAAACTTGCGAAAAAAAACCCTGTAAAGTTATAATAGTAATTGGCAAATGAGGTAGACGCAACAGCTACTTCAGTAACAACTAAATTTTGCTTCAGCTTATTTCATCCACCAACTGGGGAAAACATTCCGTTAGAACAATAGTTTGTCGAGCAGATTGTGTTATGAATAAAATCCGATAACACTGTATGGAGCAATTTGAAAAGCAGTTGATATCTGCCCATTCAATGCAGCCAGTTTCCGAAAGTAACCCCGCCTATTTCATTAGATAGCTCACACTGGTTTTTTTTTGATATAGAGGAAAGACATTTCGGGAAGTTGAACGGGTGTTGCTCGTTATGAGTTGCGGTTTTGAGTATATGACGATCATATTATTTATTACAAAGCACTTACGGAATACTTGAGTCATTGGATTATAGTGAATTGTTAGTGGTGTTACAAGTATTGTTTGTTTCATATTCCTCTCCGTTTCCCCTAAGGATTTAAATGCATAGATGATTACGCAGAATTGCTATTCGAAATAAAACGAACTGTGCGATCGTATATATCACCGATGTGTGAAGCACTTTTTCAAAACTAATAGCAGCTTATAACTGCACTCACCATCACAGGAAAGCAGCTAGAAAGTATTGAGAACTCGTTAAACCTAATCTAATTTCACTTAAATTCGTAGCGGCATATGATCCAGTGATTGCGTTAGTCTCGCTGTCAAAGAATAGGTCTATGAATGTCTATGTGAAAAGTGAACCTTACCAACTAGGGATTGTTTGGGGGAATTCGTGTTCTTAATCTATACCATCTCTTTAACCTTGTGTGAATAAGTTGGTGATACCATATAATTTAGGGGCCCAGTATTGAATATTCGGCTTAAGTGAAGACCATCTATCAATAAGTGATATTATCTTGAGAATCTGGTTACTGTGACATCGAAGTACAAATCTTATAGTGGCTGTTTCCCTGCGACGGGTTTGAAGGAAGACAGGGTGACCTCCCGATATTGTATTGTTAGCTTCTATGTATACACCACAGTTCCTTGAATGGAACCAAAGTAATCATTCCACTCAGTGGTTGGAGATAGTCACGTATATAGTGCAAAGTGGTTGTCATACGGGAGTTTTCCCATCTCTTCTGCTATTGGGATTCCTAAGAAAGTGAAGCACTCTGCCATCACTTTACTTGATGTTACCTTCTACTTGTTCACTTCTGAAGTTCTTGTCGTTTAGCATTGTATATCCAAGGTATCAAGATAGCTGAAAAAATACTGTTCTAGGACAATACAACACGGTTTGTCCTTTTAACTTGAGAAAAATAGGGGATAACAACAGTCTCGCAGGTCTGTCTGTTGAGCGTTGTCTAAAATATTGTTGAAATAGTAGTTCGTAGCGATGGTAGTTTGATTTGCGCTTTTCACTCCAGATGGTGTTTCACGAACTGATTCCTTTCTTTTTCTGCATTCATCTAAAAACTAATATCTTACCATTATTCACTGTTGGAAGTACTGTTTATAGTATTTCTTCTTCTGTTAAATACTCCCATGATTGTTTTAAATGTCATGCCTTTGTAGAAATTTCTAAGTGGTCTATGTTTGACCTGTCTATCAAAGTTTTTGTTCTGGTAATTATATGATGTTTAGAAATTTCTGACAATGATGAGTTTAAAACACAAAATAATCGAGCAAAGAATATTCTTTTCAATAAATTCCTCTTCCAGGCTCTACAATTATATATATATTTATATGCACAGAATATTTTGAAATAGTAGTTAATAACAATATTAGTGTTTTTCATTATGGCTTTCATCTTGATTTTATTTTATCCGTAACTGCCTACTGTTCTCATTGAACGCTGACATAGGGTTGGAGAAGAGTTGTGGGTGCTTAAATCAGAACCTGGCATCGATGCATAAAGTCTTTGATAGTTTTTTTTTGAGCCAGCCACTCAGGGAGGTGTAGATTGCTACGTTAGAGTCCTTAGGATGCTAGGAACCAATGGCTTGGGACTGTTGGTGATACTGCTTGAGATTGTTCTCAGTGGTGTAAATTCAGTTACTCTTTGTGATCTCCCATATTTATTAAATGGTCATGTTTTTCGATGTTACTCTGCTTTCTCCACAGATTTAAGCTCATTATAGTTTTTTTAAATTTTGAATTCCGATTTTCTCTAATTTTATGTGTCCTGCTCTACACTTTGTTGTTTTTCTTTGTGTTTGTAAGACTTGACTGTTGGAGGTAGAAGACATGAAATAGTCAGTTACCCCTGACCATTCAATTTTTGTGTTCTATCCCCCATGTTAGATGGAGGTTAATTATTGCGGTTTTAAGTCAGTCAGCTGATGAGGTTGTTAAACCACATGCCAATTTATCGCCTTCCTCGTCAAGAAATGTTGGCTGACATATGGATTGAGGCTTGTCATCAATCTATGCATTTTTTGACTGTTAATTTGAGCCACATAAGAAGGTGTAGACTGCTCATCTGGGATCCTGGAGACACTGAGAACCAATGGCTTGAGACTATTGGTGATATGTCTGAAAATTGTTCCCAGTGGCGCAGACGCATTCACTGTGTATAGTCTGCCAAACCCACTCAGTTCTCATGATTTCGCCGTGTAATTATTCTACGTACATTTCCGTTCATTATAGTTCCGTTTGAATTTTATTTTCTAACCTTCATATGCTATATGAAGATTGGTAACTTGAAGGGCTGCGTTTCCGTGGAAAATCTTGTGTTGAAATTCCATTTCGTGTGTCAGTCTAAGTTTCAGCATATACTTAATTTAGCCTATGTAGAAACGAGTTGGGTCTTTAAAATGGAATTTATAAACGAGCATATCTGCAGACCAGATAACAGAACTTCGCACTGTCTTATAGATTTCATTGAAGATAAGTGCATTTTACTACACCGCACACATTAGGAATAATGAAATCATTCCACGTCGCCTTCTAACCATCATGATGCTTCTTAAAATTCAGACTACTATTTCATAGAATACTGATATAAGGGGAGTTCGGCTAAAAAGGGTTTATCACAAATTTTCTTATCCAGTCTCTGACTGAATAACTGAGCTCCAACGTAGAACTTGGCACAGAAGTGCAGGAGTTCAATTTGCTACACTCTATGCACCATACAAGAATAGAGAAAAGAGTTTCCAAGGAACTGTAATAAATATACGGGAGGAAGAAGAATGATAGCTTAATGAATATGCCTCTGCACCACTGAGAACAATTTTGAACCATATTCCCAACACTCCAAAACCATTGATTTTGAGTACCTTGAGATCTCCAACCAGGTGGTCTTCACCTCCCTATGTGGCTGGTTGACTCAAACCAATCGTCAAATACTTCATGCCAGATTTTAATTTGACCAGCTCTAACTCTTTCCCAACCTAATTAAACGTCTGTTGATGTGGCTGTACCAGGAAGACGGTGGCTTGGCATGTACAACACTTGTCCTAGCTAATTTCAATCAATCTAATCCAATGTATTTATCTCATATGTATATGAATATTGTCATATTGCCTACACTAGTTAACTCTTATAAGCCTCAGTAAACATTACTGACTAACTGACTGGCTGTAAAGTAGAACTTTGCAGCAATGTGCAGTAGTTCCAGTTGCCACACTCCCTCCATGTAGCACAGAAAGCAAGAGAAGAAAGTAAGAAGAAACGCAAAATAGATACAGTAAATAGAGATATGAGGCATAAAGAATAGTAATACGGAAGAACAATATAGTTTTATTGAAAATCCTAAGTCACAATGAGTGGATGCGTCTGCACCAGGCATTGAGAACGAGGATTTTGAGCTATAGCACCACCAATTGTCTCCAGCCTTCATTGGTTCTTACCGTCCCGAGGACCCCAACCAGTCAGTCAGGCAGTCTACACCTTCCTACGTGACTGGCTAGCTTAAACTAACTGTTGTGGATTTCATTGACTGATGAAGCCATCTTTTGGTGTGACCACCACTGGCTGACTCTTTTCCAACCTGATCAGTCCTATGTCAGCTAACATTGCCTGTTGTCGAGGAAGGCAGGCGATGGCTAAGCATACATAATACATGTCTTAACCATCTCAATCGATGCAGCTGCTTCACAACCTCGCCTTTTGATTTCCCCCATCTGTATATAGCTCTCCACTGATGTCTAACCTCAATATTGATCACCCTATTACACCGACCACTTCACACGGGAGGGAGATAGAACTCAGGCACTTATGATCAAACACAGTCAACATTACACTCCGTTATTATCTTCAATTTGTGTACCAAATAGCATTGAATAATTGTATTGGTAATTCGTTACTGTGTTGTTTATTTTTCAGATAAAGGCCATCCATCCATCCACTTTTGTTATTATATCATACGTGTTGGTTTTTAGTATGAACTGTGAATTATAGTCACGCAAACAAACTGTGGATATATATATACACATATATCTATCTATCTGAATCATTCGGGGGTGTATTGACAAAATAAATAAAGTAAATTGTTGTTTATTTCCGATAATTACATTACCGTCTTGCATTTTAGCTAATCTCTGTTAGAGTATCACTGAAGAACACCCACATCCACACACAACTTCTAAATGAAATATGGTTTCTAAGTAAATTGAAAGCATTCAACTTATTCTTGTTGCCTTCTCTTTCTTTCTTTAAAAAAAACAGTATAAAGGTTTTATCCTCTTCTGCTGGAGATGTAATCATCAGTGGTTACCTGCTGAAAAGTAGACGCACTGAATTATTTCGTAAACTCCTGTGGAATGTATGTTGACAATTTCATTTCATTGTTTTCTTTCAAATATCTTTTCTTTTTTTTTTAGTTGGATTGTGTAAAACATTCATCAGAATTTAATATAAGAGTAAGTTAGTTATTTTTGTTTTGTTTGGTTAAAGTGTATAAGACAAATTGGTAGCCTGTTTTTATTTAAAAAATGCTTGTCATGTGATGATTGTAAGTAGGTGTGTTGATAAAACTTGTTTTTTCTATGCATTTATCATTGTTACTATTCTTATCTGAAGATTTTCTGTAGCAAGTGATTAGGCGCTGGTTTTCTCTGCGTAGAGGAGTCGTTAGTCAGTCTCCTACACCCAACTTTCCCTCTTGTACCTGCTGAACTTTTAAAAACTAGCCGAAGTCAAGCATATAAAACACTTCATGATGCCTTTGGTTACAGGATTTTTAATCATGAGCTGATATTGGTCAGAGAACCAAAGCTGTTTTGTCAGCCTGGTTTGGGACTCTTCAGCAGTATGCACCAGCCCTACTGAGGTTCTAACCCACGACCTTCTGGTTGCAAGGCTAGCGAGCTCGTAGACCAATAAGCTACTGCGACTCACCCAATCCAATGGTCAGCCAGCCCATGAATTCCAGCTTCTGCCAATTCATGACATAGCGTGACCACTAGCCAATGTCTTCGATGGCGAGTATTTGTCCCGACCTGCTGCGACCTACTGGTCAAGAATTCACACTAGAACCTGAGGTAACTACCTACATGAATATGAGCATCTGAGGGTGCAGCAGGTCGGGTGTGTGGACAAATACTCGCCGAAGACATTGACTAGCAGTCGCGCTATGTCGTGAATTGGCAGAAGTTGGAATTTATGGGCTGGCTGGCCATTGGATCGGGTCCCAGTGGCTTTAATGGTCTACGAGATCGCTAGCCTTGTAACCAGAAGGTTCTGGTTTCGAATCCTGGCGGTGGATGTATACTGCTGAAGAGTCTCAAACTAGGGGGAAACATCTGTCTGGCAGTACTCCCCGTTGGTATTCCAATGGTTCTTTAACTGATGTCAGCTTATGATGAAATCTTGTAACCAATCAATCAAATCCCTACAAACCAATACTTGAAAGCTTCATGATTTCGCTTGAAGATGCCTAACCAATCGCATTATTGTTTTATTCCTTTATGTTCCAAGTGGAATATAGGGTTTCAAGCTAGAGCTTTGAAGCTTCGATAGTAGTGGTTTTTTAATTTTTCTGGGGTTGGCGGGCTGGCTAGCCTCACATCCAACCTTCTCTCTCTTCACTGACTTTACTGCCGCCTTAGCGAGGTTTAGAAGCGCGTCGGACGGGAATTGAACTCTGGACCACTTGTGGCTTGGTTCTACATCTGAACCATTGATGCACTAACCAATAACAAAAGACACTAATCAAAATCAGCAAAAGGATTCTAAAAGATGTGACCTTATTCGCTTACTTAACCTAAACAGCAGCGTTTGAACTACAGGCTAAGGCATAGATGAGAATGTAAAAGTCTCAACCGGAATAGGAAAAGCAAGACCGAGTTTCATTAATTTGAATTAAGAGTGGGAGCTGAACGTAGGGCGTAGGTCAGAGGGTCGCATGAAGTAGGTTATTTGGTGAGGTAGTTAGAGTTTATGAGGAGTTGTTCAGTCAACTAAAAGAGGGTGAAGTAGCGATATTCCACTTGGAAGCCATGGGAATAATGAAAATTTCCATCAGTTCGGGATTTTACCGCGACTGACGCCAGCCAATGTCATCCGTGGTGAGTATTTGTCCACACCCCGGACCGAGTGGGCCCCACTGGTCACTAGAACTCCAGGCGACTTCGTGATGTAGCCAGTCAGTCATTAGCGAGCAACAGATTGATTTTTATGAGTTTGTTTGTAGAGGTTTGATTTGTTTGAAGTTTGATCACGGATTGATATCAGTTAGAGAACCACTGAAAGCCAACATGGAGTACAAGACAGCTGTCTCGTCCTAGTCTGTCACTCATCAGCAGTACTAATGATGCTGGATTCAAAACCTGATGGGTGCGTGTTGCCAATGAGTCTCAAACTACGACGAAACAGATGTCCAGTACTCCCTGGTCTTCGATAGTTCTCCAGCTGATATCAGTCCACACGCAGTCGGCACTGATGAAGATATCAAAGCCAGCCAACCAGAATCGGAAAGGCAAGATACGCCTTCATCAACCTGATAACAGTTTGGAAATCTTCTACGCTGCATTCAGCATAAGCAGCAAAATTTGCATTTTCAACACAAATGCGAAGTTGGTTCTTCCACACACGTCAGAAACTTGCACTGCGTGTCACGGAAAGGTTTTCCAACGGGATGCAGACTTTCATCAGCAGCTGCCTTCACTGGCTCCATACTGAAGATCAAATGGCCAGCTGGCCAGAAAGAATTAGCAACAAGAAACTCTGGCTGGGAACAAATCAAACAAGCAAGAGCCGATCGCTCAACAAATATGTAGAAGAAAATGGAGATGGATAGATTGGGCATACATTGAGGAGGCCGCCGAATGACATCGCACGCAGTGTAGGCCATCGCTCGAATGGAATCCAAATGGGAAGCGACGAGTGGGTCGTCGGTGCAAGGGTGACATGGAGAAGATTATGTGGTGAAGGGAAGATGAGAGATTATAGGCAATTGTGGACCTAGCTGAAGAGGATGGCAGAAAACAGAACAAAGTAGAGATGTATTTTCGAAGCTCTTTGTTCCACTCGGAACCTAAGGGAACAATAATAATAATTATAATAATACTAAGTGAGATCTGTTTGTCATAACGGTTTCACTATATCAGCGGATCTGAAATCAACATTTCTTTGACCAATACTACAAGTATTCTAATCTTCTTAACATTTCTCTGAATATATTTCAATGTCAAAGAAAAACGTTTTAACATGCAACCTTGTTTATATAAAACAAAATTTTTAAAAAATCAAGAAATTATCTGAAGAGTTCATACCATGTAAAACAAAATGATAGAAAAGTGAATCGTGTTATCTCTCCACTGTTATATGATGTAGGTGGGTAGGTAGGTAGGTAGGTATATAAATTAATAAAAAAAGTATAACTAAATTTAAAAATAATCATTCATATTCATCCAGTCAATCGATCGATAGATGGATCGATTGATATTGTTGTGTTTTAGACAATCAATCAAAATGGCATCACTAATACTCATATATATATATATATATATATATATATATTACACATGTTCAAATCAAGTATGCAGACAGTTGTAGAATAAAAGGCACTTATTGTTCGTATTTCACAGTTTCTCTTCAGCTGCTCTGACAGTCTAAAGATTGCATGGCATACTTTGGAATTGTTTCAGTAATAATAATAAGGATATTCTCAGCAGAATAATAATAATAGCTTTATTCCAATCAGTATTTGTGGTACAGGTATGGAATTTTCAGCTTGCATTACAATATTGCATCTAATTACCTCATAAATTTTTATAAGATTTTTAAAAATAAAAAGCAACAACAAAAAGAAAAAAGAGAAATAAAAGAAATAAAAAAGAACAGCATTGTATTCACATATTTAAACAATGCACCACAGGATATGAAATATAAAATTAGTGTATAATGTGTGAATATGTGAGCAACAATATAATAGTAAGAAAGAAAGGAGAACAAAAACTAATGGGAACTATTTGTTAGAGTGCCACAGTAAGTTGATCCTGTCATACCTAATGGATTTCTTATCACATAACAGCTGTTCCAGGTAAGGTATTGTGGAGTTTTTGTACTTGGTAGTCCTGGCATATAGCCTCCTATAGTTGCTTCTAGTTCTAGCAGATGAAATGCAAGGAGAGAGGTGCGTATAGAGAGGGTGTTCGGGGTCTGACAATATAGAATTCGCTAGTTTCTTACATGACATTATGTGTCTATCCACAATGGTGTTAACCAGTTGGTTTAACGAAATCCCACTTCCCCTACTAACAGCTTTTAGTGCCATACGCAGCAAAGTAAAGTCTTTCTTAAGTAGTCCAGGGAAGATTAATGGGGAGCAGTAAAGAGGGATGGGTAGAATACAAGAGTTGACAAACTGAGAAAGCAAAGACTGCTTTATACCAGACTGCCTTAACTTCCTAACGTAGAATGATGAACTAGGAGGTGTGGTGTGAATACAAGATACCAGTGAATACACTGAGATAGTCGAACAACCACAGTTTTTTTTTACTTTTTTGATATTATTCTTTTGGGTTTTGAATGAAACAAATTTTTTGATTGGATACTAGTCTGTGACTAGTGTGTCATGTGCGTGTGTCCTTGGTGTAGACTTAGATTCTGTCATCACTCAAGTTTGCAGTGTGGCCAGCAGGCCATTAGATGGCTCGACATCACAATGCACTGCAGTGTGAATTGTTGGTATTAGGAAGGGAAGGGATGAGGGAATGGCCATGAGTTCCTTCAAGGTTACAGATATGCCTTACTGAGTGATGAGTGCCAACTAGGACGAAACCTAGGTCAGCTGGCTTGGCTTCCTGCCGATTGTCGCCAACCATCTAATGTCAACAATTGAAAGTGAAATATAGAGCTTCAGCAACAAACAAATCATCGGTATATTCTGTTCTGCAGCATTTCTTCTAACTGGACAGTAGAAACCAATGAAGGCTGAAGACAACTGGTTGTGATATGGCTCAAATTCCCCGTTCTCAATAGCTGGAGCAGATGCATCCACTCCTTGTGACTTATAATTTCCAATAAATCTGTATTGTTCTTCGTTATTACTATTCTTTTTGTCTCATATCTCTGTTTACTGTCTCTATTTTGGATTCCTTTTTACTTTCTTCTTTGGCTTTGTGTGCTGAGTGAAGTGTGGCGACTCGAACTGGTGCACATCGGTGCAATGTTCTATGTTGAAACCAGTCAGTCAGTCAGGGTCCGCAATGGTGTATAAGTTTGCATTTCCTCCTTGCACGATTTCTTCTATGTCATTCTCGGACCATTGCTGAACTCGTCGTTTACTTTTCGGTTTCCACTGGAAAGTCGGCCTGGCACTTGTTGTCACTGGACAGTCTCCTCAGCGTGTATCCAATCCACGCTGATTTTCTTCTGCATATTTGTTAGCCAATAAGTTGTTAGTTGATTCGTCTTC